CGGTTCCCTGTTGAAATTTTAACCCCCCCCCCCCCATAAAATTATTAAACTAATTAAAGCCTCTATTCCATTTGTCATTTCGGCTTACAACTCATTTTATCACTGTCACCAATGACTCCTTTTCCTATTCTCCATGATTAGACACCGTATAGAAAAGTCACTAACATTAGCTAGATGCTAATGATAGACTTAAGGTGCCCATACACCTTACAATTATCTGCAGATTTTCTGTGGTCAGATGGAAAAAGTGCAACAGATTGGCCCAGGTGGAGATTACTCCATCCACACAGTTTAGCATAGATGGAGGAATCTGTTGCACTTTTTCCATCTGACCACAGAAAATCTGCAGATAATTGTAAGGTGTATTGCCAGCTTAAGAATCAAAATTTTATATATTGATGCTTATGTGCAAAATACCAAAAAATAAATCCTATTACAAACCAGAACATTGAACATATTGGTATGTATTCACATATTGAACATATTGGATGCATTCTAATTGTCAAAAAAATAAATTTGAATGATAAATAGCAAAACAGCGCATAGGAACAAAAGTACTGCAAGCTTCGGGCTTAACTATATACGCTGTGAACCTTTATCCAAATCTATCATTAAACCTTTTTTAGCCCACTTGGGATTTCAGTCATCCTTGGACAATGATATTCCAGCTGGGACTTGAACTCTACTCTATATTAAAAAGACAAAAAGATCTTTGCCAAGACTGTGCTCCTGGCCTCTTCACTACATACAGCCAGCAGACTCCGTATGAAACTTACCATAGTTATTGTTACCGCTGGTGTTTTCAATCTCCAGCACCCACTCTCCTGCTGGATCCTCATCCCATGAATGCGTGGTCATAAAAGCCCAGTCATTGAAGCCATCTGCAGAGTAATCATGAAGCCTGAAAACACAAAACCAAAATTATTTATCAGGAAATGCCGATATATAATGAAAGATGCCAGTTTCAGACAGTTGCTACTAATACAGGGCACAATTATTATGAACTTGAGAAAGCAGAACATTGAAAGTCACACAGGGCTTTAATTCACCTTTAATACCTAGATAACAATATCTTAATTTAATAAACTTGATGCACTTTTTTTTTTTTTTTTAAATACAGAGCACCACAACACAGGGCATGCGATTTGTGGTGAGCTGCAGCACAGGTGCATTGCAGGCTATTATGGTTGTGTGTTTGGTTGCAATTCTAAATGAAAAGCACTACACCTGACCAAGGCTGAGCAAAACACCTTGGTAGGCTGAGCTGTCCTGACCCACGGTCTTCTTAGATTTACAAGCAAAAAGATCTGCTCCACCCTAGAATCTCATTTTGTCTTCTACTTTCTCTATAGAATTCTGTAAATGAAAAGTTGAAGACATTGAGACGTGTTATTTTGCTGAGCAAGTGCCCCATGACATAAACTAGCTAATTATTAAAATTGCCAGAATCTACTTGTAAATAAAATTTTTGGTTTTAGATGGACTGTCCCTAAAAAAACTAAAAAACACACTTGTGATTGCAAGATTACCTAGGTGCCAGCAGACAAGAACGAGTACCCATAGGACTTGTCAGATAAATGGCAAGATCTCCCCTGCGGTTGTAGGACAAGGTTAGCCTGGCTTGGACATGCTCCAGGGTGCTGATGTAATTGGACATTCCAGTGCATGGCTCCACTTTCCTTCTGACTTCCAAGCGCTTCCCTATGTCCCTAGGAAAAACATTGAAAAAGCATTCACTTAATGCCAATTAGTGGCCTTGTTTGTCGTATGAATAAAGAATGTGAATTATTTAGGTCACTACCCATCATGAGGGAACATATGAACTGGAAGCATAGACATGGCTCAAAACAATGAGCAGTTAATGTAGCAATGGCCAAAGGATCTTGAAACAATTGCAAATCATCCAATTATACAATTGATTGAGCGAGCAGGTGCACACGTTAAGTAAATACAGAATAGGAGAAAGCACAATAACAATATCAAAGGCCATTCGCTCAGTGGACAAAGCAACACATCAAAGCACAGCAAAGAATAGACTGAAACTGCATTGGTGACTCTCCAAATCAGACTCCTCTTTTTGGCAACACAGAAGCTTGTTGCGCCAGGAGGCAGTTAGGGCAAAGACAGAAACGTGCCTTTTATGCCAAAGAACCAGGTGGTTCCTTTCACTTCCTGCTGTCTATTCTGCTGAATACCATGGCGTGCATCCTTCAACCTCACAAAACAATCACTGCAATACAAGCAATGGCATATGGTTTTTATTTACCAAATTATGTTTTTTTTGAGGAACCAGTGTACGGGAGCTATATGATGGCATCCAGTTTGCTTTGAATAGTGTAGGGAAGGGTAGAAACCAGTCAATGTATTTGCTTTGTGTGCTGTTAGGAAGATTTCCCTTTACTTCCTGTCATAAGGACACGATGGGAAGCAAGAGGGAATCAGTTGTCACAGGAACAGGTGTCCCCACTGGAAGATATTGCCTCACCTCCTGCCCTGGTGACAACTATAAAATGTTGGTTTTCCAATCAATTTCTGTCTAGGTTATTAGCCATCTTCACAAAAGTGCCTGTCAAACAAAGTAAGCCTCTACTAAGAGAAATATGGAGGCTGCCAAAGCTGATTTTCTTCTAAAAAAATGCTGCTTTCCTGCTTCTTATGCGGACCTTCTGGCTTTCATATAGCATCACTAACCTGGAACAAGTACGAATATCAGGAAAATCCAAAGTTCCAATCTGTATACTTGTTCTGAATTTGTGGCTAAAAGTACTGAACAGCTAGGCAACTTCGCATTTGCAGTATAAGAAGTTCACAAAAGCAGTCTTCAGGTACCTTTTTTTTAAAAACACATTGGTGTACTGTTGTTACAGGAGTGTTTTAAAGTTGCAGCAGTTCAGTAGCAGTGTGGACAAACCCTAAATATTTAAAGACTAACGGCCATGTTGGTGCTCTCATTTTTCTTCTTTTCTTTGATTACATTTTATTAAGCACAAAGTTGACCTTCATTTTTCAGGCGCTCTCAGGCACCCTGGGACAAGATGAGAAGGCCAGCCCCAGAATATGGAGCTATCCATTGCATTTAACTCAAGCAGCAGATGGGAGAAATAAAATAAAGATTTATAAAGGTTATTGGAACCAGTTTGTTTAACCCTAGTTACAAGCAGAGCATGGAGATAGAGCTGCAGCTGTTTTCCCCTGCAGGGCTTCATTCATGCTCAGTTGGACAGAAGTCTCATTGAGTCTTTGGCTCTGACCCAGTGAGGTGTGAATGGTTTGTGTGTCTAAATCCCCCGAAGAGCCAAATCCAGGTAATACACAGTCTGTTCCCAATGCTAACTGAACATTTATATGTTAGTGAGGAGCAACACCAGGAGCTGTATCCGTTTACATGTGCTCTGCAAAGAGAAGACAAAATGATATACTTTTCTGGGAAATGCTAAAGAATGGAAGCCTTGTTCACTAGCTAAACACTATATACCGCCATGGTTTGATGGCACCATTAAGTGCTGGTATAACAGAAGATAGAAATGAAGAGCCATGTAAACGACTAAATATAAATTCCATGATTAGGTCCTGGTTGGAATTCAGCACAGAAACAATGGCAGGAAAAAGGGACAGGTGTAATGGACAAAAGTTTAAGGACTCCTTTATATGGTACAGTAAGAACTGGAGCCCAGGCCACATCCTATCACTGACCACAATTCCTTGTTGGATCATTTTGCAGATTTTATTACTGAATACCTGCATGGGAACATTCCATATCTGATAATTGTTATGGAACAAAGATTTTACCCTCAAATTACAAAAACTTCAAATGCTGGCAGCGATTTTAATAATTAGCCACTCAAATCATCATACAGGTTGAAAAAAATTATACTTGCATTGGCATACCAAAAAGGGTATCTGAGGATATAAGTGCTCCATTCTGGGGCAATGGGACTGCGGCCATTTATTACCCTAAGGTAGGTTTGCCTGTTTGCCCCTTGTGCCAATCACCAACGTGATGGCCTTCAAGCTCAAGTTTGTTGTATTAGGCAAAATGTGTTTTTTTTGCAGTTATTTTAAAGCTGATCTCCAGGCAAACAGCTAAATACACAGATAAAATACATATCCGAGCGGTTTTCCTGCCAAGAGATTTGGATTTCTGTCCAGACAGTCCTGAGATTTCTGCAGCTCTGCCGCACAGCACAACCCTACCGAACAGTAGAAGGGGCCCGCTCTCTCTGCTGCTGATTCACTTTCACTTCTCTTTCACCCCCACCCTTTAACTGGACACTGAAAGGAGGAACAGCACACTGATGAGCTCATCTGTCACTCTCTCCACCTATCAGCATGATACTTGCACTGCAGCTGCTTCTCCCTCCCCTCTAAGCTCTACTGTAAAGACTATACAGCAGTAATAAATACACGTATGTATTATTGATTAAAGAGATGCATTGATTTGGGTCTCATATCTGCCTAGAGTTTGGCTTTAAAGAACTACAAGATGTTGTAAGTGCGTGCGTTTCCTCCGGGTACTCCCGCTTCCTCCTAGACTCCAAAGACACGCTGGAAGGTTAATTGGCTCCCGTCTAGATTGTCCCTGTATGTATGCATGTGAGATAGGGATCTTAGATTGTAAGCTCCTTGAGGCCAGGGACTGATGTAAATGTGCGCGTAAATCACATTATAGGATTTATAAAAAAGAAAAGAACTTGCTGCTGTATTTTGCAATTATTTACACAAGTGCAGCCATATTTGCTCAGTACAAAAATAGAAGAGTAGGCATGTGAAAATGTTCAAGAAATAAACAAGAATTTCTTTAGGGCCTCATTCACACGGACGGGGGGGGATGGGAGGTTGATCTGCATTTTTGCCACCCCCCAGTCGCTGTACACATTGCTGCGGCCTCAATGCTTTTGGGAGGCTGTACTGCTTGCCAAATGCGATCCCTGCAATTAATTGGACTGTCTGCAACCGTGTGGGTATGTGATTTTGGTGTGGAGTTGCAGTGCCAAAAAAAAATCTCCATAAGGATTTAAAAAAAAAAAAAAACACACACACACACAAACAAAAAAAAACTGCATTCAGAAGGCAGCAGTATTGATGGGCAGCTGCTGCTCCACCACCCTCTGAAAAGCAGTCCACCGCAGATCACTTCTCAGAGGGAGGTGGAAGCTGCCGCCCATGTGAGCTCAGCCTAAAGGTGCCCATAAACTGTGGGAAATCCCACGATCGTACGAGAATCGTACAGTGTATGGAAGGCGTGCGACCGTTTCTACTGTACGGTCGCACGTCTTCCATCGAACAAGCAGGCTGGAAAACCCGCCGGGAAATGTACGATTCTCGGCGAGTGAGTGGCCTGCTTGTTCGACAACTGACGAACGGGCCGGTGTGCGCACACGCACACTGCCCGTTTGCCGTGCTTGCAAGCCCGCCCCTCATTGCAGTCATCGCAAGTACGATCTGCCTGTCCAAGATGGGCAGATCGTACATTTTTTTAAGTACTTTACAACCATCGCAAGACTAAGGTCTTGCGATGGTTGTAAAGTGTATGGCCACCTTTAGGCTCACCTGCAATCAAACTTGCTTTGTTTTGGACAAAGGGGGAAACTCGGGTTGTGTGTTTTTTTTTAAAAAACCTCCAGGTTTGTATAAAAAAGTACCCTTGTTGTGGGACTATCCCCCGCACTGCAAGTGTTAAATGCTCGTTTTTCCCTAGGGGCCAAAATACAGAAGATATACTCACCTGATCCACAGCCTTGCAGCGGTCAGCGCTCTCACCTCTCCTCTGCTACAGCTGTGGTATGTCTATTTGTGTCCAAGTCAAATGCAAATCAGCGATTAGATGTAATGATGTTAGCAGTCAGGACCAGGTGAGTAGATTTCCTTTATTTGAGCCCCTAGACAAAGACAAGCCGTTAACCTTTGCAGGGCGGGGGTAGCCACACCAAGGGTTAATTTTGTGAAAACCTGGATTTTCTCTTTATTACACTAGGGAAGCGTTAGAACATCTGACATTTCATTGTAGTGTGAGCCTTCTGTCCCGGTGACAGTCATTCGAATCGATCACTCAAATTATATGCTCACTGAAAACACATTATGTAAACCTAGTCACTAAAATCCCATTTAAGCTACAAGATAATATAATTTCATACACCATTTGTAACTTTATAAACCTGCAGCTTAAGTAAAGTAATGTGGTGATCCTGCAATGAAGATCCTTTTCAGAAATCACCTGTTAAAGGGTGACAACGCTCTATACCCGTTTTATTGCCACTTCTAACAGACTTCAAGTCACTGTTTTAATTATGTAGGCACGGTCCACTATTGCCAGCATCAGGAAACTATCCCCGATAAATGCCATGCAGTCATTGTTTGAGTGTACGCTTGTTGGCAGGAAGTGGCTGCAAAGGCCCAGCAGCACTGAGATGGGGGGGAATTTATCATAGCAAGTGTTTAACCTCCCTGGAGGTCTGATTATCTCAGTATTTTCTTTTTCTATTTTTTACTTTCGACCCCGCGCTCGCAGGGAAGGAACCTGGAAGACGGATGCCGCATGGGCCGCAGGACACAGCGGGGCTTGTAGGAACAAGGCAAGTGACGCTACAGTGTAATCCCGGGTGTGGCTCGGGGTTACCACTTTTGGTACTGAAAGTTAACCCAGAGCCACACCCGGGATTACCGCCAGGAAGGTTAAGCTTGCACAAAATATATTTGCACCAGATTTATGATACTAGTGTAATGTTGTTCATAAATGAGGTTTAATAGACTCCAGGAAAGAAGACTCTTAACTCCAGGCAAAAAGCTTAACTGTCGCTTCTTGAAGTGGTCATTGGGACTTCTTAAGTTGTGATTGTTTTGTTAGGTGATGCTCCAGTTTCATACAGCCCAGAACAAGTGCAGATGAAAACAAGTGCAAAAAACATGCAAATTGACATTGACATACAAAAGTAGCGCAAGCTCTGGTCAAAACAGGTGCCAAACACGTGCAGTTGGAAAAGTAGTGCAAGCTCAGGTGAAAACAGGGGCACATGTTAAGACAGATTGGCACATAAAAAAAAAAAGAAGATGATCTAAGAGGCTAAAACTGTCACAATTGCTTTGATAAATTCCCCACAATGTATTTAAAAAATAAGTGGCGAAATAGAATACACAGTTCAGCAAACTAAAAGTCATTCAGTTAGGGTTTACATCTACTTTATGCTACTACATATGTGGCATATTATTTTGCAGAAAAATAAAAAGATTGAGAATTTCACATCACAATAGAAATGGTCTACATTTAATTGTACTGGACACTCTAGCCAAGTACTTGAGTGCAATAGTAGAGCTTGCAGACAATTTATTATAATTGATATCTTGCTGTTTAGCCCTAATTGGCGGGATAGCTTGCGTGCAATCAGAGAACAAAGCTCAATACTTACAATCACAGTGCCAGCAGTGACACACCTCCACCCAGCTCCCAGTACATCGGTTCTATCAGAGGCTGCAGTAATTAAGGTATAGTGTGCAGCACAGCATGAGGAAAATGACTCACAAACCATCACACGGAGATTGTGCTGACCCCATAAAATAGAGGCCAGTGTTCATGAACAAGACTACTGTGCAATTTGGATCAAAGTTGTGTAGGCCCACACCAAATGTGCTGGCTCTCTGAGATGCAAGAGACGACACATTTATCTCAGAAGTGCTTGCGGTTACAGGCACGGTTCTACAGCTCACAATAAATTCCACTTCAATTCGTCAGACAGTTCATCTTTAAACGTGCGTTGTAAATTATAAGTGCCATTCCTAAAAAACACAGCCTGGTGCAGAATGTGTAACTGCCATTGAGCCAGGTGTTAGATTCCACGCATACTGATAAGTGCTTTATTCAAGAAGGGACTGGGAAACAAATTATTCCTTTCATAAGTCCAGACGTTTTTTTTGTAATAATTCAAATAGAATATAGAGACTTTTCCCATCTCAAGACAACTGGCCTTATCTAGCAAAGGGAATGAAATAAGAACTTGGCGTTCTCTCAACCAGCAAATGGATTCTCCCTTTTTATTCTCTAACTCATTTTGTACAACAGGTTTAAAAAGGATTGGCTGATACAAAGCAATGCATTTCTTATAACAGATATGATAAATGGCAAATAGTTCAATCAAAAGTAGCGCAGTAAGACATTGACACCGTCTTTATTTGCCTTATTCAGGAATATTCTTCTGAGAATAAACAAAATAATTCACAAAAGTGGCTAGGTATTCAATAAAAAACCGCTTTAGGGCTGGGTTCACACCTGGGCGTATTTCAGCACGTGGAAACGCGCTGAAAAACGCAGTACGCCAAAACAAGTACTGGAGCTTCTTTTGGGGCGTATTTCCGCGCACATCCATTGGTATTCCTGAGTGTGGCTCGAGGTTAACAAATCGGTAACCCCGAGCGACACTCAGGAATACAGCGTAGGTCTTACCTTGTCCGCGATCCCCGCTGTGTCCTCCGGCCGCTGACGTCTTCCGTCCCTTGCGAGCATCCGCGTCGCAGGGGGGCGGAACTGGCGGGAAGTTTGAAAGTTTAAAAAAAAAAAAAAAAAAAACACGAAAAAAGAGAAAACAAATGAACATTTTTTTTTAAATCATACCGCCAGGGAGGCATAAAAACGAGTGTCAAACGCGCGTTTCACTGAACTAAAAAACGTGCTAAAAACGAGCTGAAAAAACGCACCTATAGTAATGCCCAGGTGTGAACCCAGCCTAAAACAGAATGAATTGCAATAAAATGAGGTTTATATGGTGCACTTTGGGTTAAATAGAACTTCATACCCTCATGCCTGAGAAACGCAAGTCAACCTGATCAACACTTTGAAGTTTATGTTTTCAGGAGGGTGAAAACTTGTTGAATCCTCCTAGCACCTTTTCAGCACACATTCCCATGAACTTCTATTTTCATTTTGTACTCTAGTGCTACTTTTACAATATTAACAGCTAAGTTCAAAAGAAGATACTTCCGAGTTTCATTTACTCACTTTGCCTCAGTGAGAATGTTGATGACACATTTCCTCTGAGGTCCCACAGTGGTCCAGTTTTTGGCAAGAGCGACCATGGCCCCAGCATCCAGGAGTCCATATCCATACGAATGGCTGACTACAATATACGGAATAAGAATCATTAGTGAGAAAACTGTATTCAAGTCTATTTATGTACGTCTATTTCGAAAACTTTGTGGGATTGTATTATTTTTGCGGTAGCTTGACAGAATGTGTACTTATTTCTGGAATTGATATAAAATAAACAAAGAACATATGCCACAAATCTAATATAGGAACATAATTGGCTTTATTCAGTGAGTATTTCTAAAGTATACCAATTGAAATCAACTTTACTGAAATATATAAAATGGATAAAATGGTTTCTATAGGTAGCAGCATAAAAAGACTCAAGAACTGTTTTTTAAATAAGGCTTAATATAATACAGTTGGCAAACCCCAATTTAGACGTGTTAGGATTACCTTTGCGCCCAACTCCATTTGTGCTCCAATCATTTGTGTTAAGATGAGCTGGGTTTGATGTTCGCACAACTAGATGCTGCATATCCCTCCAGGTGAGATTATTACTGAAATAAAAAGTAGAAAGAATGTGTTGCTGGCACAACAGATTATTTCTTTCTGCAAATATAGCATTCGGTTCAGACATGTACATCTATAATAATTCTGTGCAATAGAAAAAGAAATACTCAGCAAAACCAGATTCATTGGCCAGATTTTGGTCTTTCATAAATGTGTCCCAGGATGGGACGTGTAATGAAAAGTCAACCTCCCCTTCCAAGTAATATCACAGAAAGGGCTCCTGGCTTAGAAACCGCTTAGCTGGTCATGAATGGAGAGAGGCCATATCATATGAACAGTTTTGACCAAGTTGTGCAAAAATCTCATGACCCACACTACAATTATAACCTCATCAAGACTCCGAAAACCTATAATATTATCACAAGACATATATTTAGTATAAAAATAATGTTACTATGCCATTGTTCTGATACAGGAGAAAGAGCTGGCAAAGAACTTCACTGCCCGAATATAACCGATAGTGGACATTACTGACAGAGAAAAGTGTCAGTTTCCTGAAATGTGTCAAATTGCATCTAATCCCCTTGTACCATGACTTCATGAAGTAAAATATGTTCTTCATCACCTGGGGACACAATCTATATGCTCATCTTAAATAATAATTAGTGTGTTGTTAGACCATTAAATTGGACTTTTAGGCTGGGATCACACCTAGGCGTATCGAATATGAGCGTTTGTCGCACGTTTTTACTGTGATTCGCGCGTTTCCGAGGGCTACCTGGCTGTATCCCCAATGGATATGCGCGGCAAATACGCCCCAAAGAAGCTCCTGTACTTTTGGCGTAGGGCGTTCCTACGCGCTGTAAAATGCCCATGTGGGAACCATGCCCATAGGCAATCATTGGTTTTCACATGTTGAGCGTTTTACAGAGCGTTAGAACGCGCTGTAAAACACCCAGGTGTGAACCAGGCCTTACCCCCTTATCTGCCAGCTGATATGAAATCTTACATTCATTAGCTAAACAAACATTTTTCTTTTACTTACAATTTCCCCCACTTCCTGGTCCACTTTGGCACAATTTTAGTAATTGTGCCTAAGCAATGCATCATGGGAAGGTTACATCAGCAGAGCATTGCTAGGAAATCCAATTTTTAATCTCACAAGATCTAAGGGAAAGCCCTTTTCCTCCCCTGAGATGATGTACATGGTCACATGTGCCAAGAGTTCCAGGAAGTAAAAGGAGAACTAGTAAAAATGGCCACTGTTAGAAGACTGGGGAATTTTATTTATTTATTTTTATATTTTTTTGTGTACTAGGTCACAACATGGGGGGCGCACAGAATAGAGGGCTTGTAGGGCAGTGAGTTACGATAAACACTATCACATTGATGGTAAAGACCTGAAAAACTAAAACTAAATATAAAAAGGTAGTAAACTATAAAAGTAAACTGAAATATATAAGTCACATTAAGAAGGGGGAAAAAAACAGCACTATACGGATACAGATTTGGCTATGACTATGGGGAAAAATATGGAGGCTAGAAGAATTTAAATCAATATTGTGTCATGTTTTGTTTTAGTGTTGGTGTTCATGAGATTATGTTGGTTTGCGTCTTGATGTTAATTGTCTAGTTAGTCATGTATAATGTATGAAATGTAGACTTTTGTGTGAAAAACTTAATTTATAAGAAGAAGACTGGGGAAGAAAATAAAATTTTGTATACAAAGAATAAAAATCCTGCAATTATCTAGAAGTATCTGTTTGTAGATTGCCGTTACTAAACATTTCTAAAAGGTGCCTCTGTTATTTTGAAGATATGGGTAAATGTCCTCTTTAATGTCTATAGACTGTAGGGGATGCCTAAAATGTGACATCACAGTGCAGTCTGAGAAATCAGTGAATTACACACCCAGAAAACAATGTTTTTGGGGCGATTCTGTAGGCCACTGGTGTACAGAACCCCCTCAAGTTGCCATACTGCATGGGATTTGATAGATTTAAAAATTACAGTGGCTGCAGATTGAAACTGAAAGGTAATTTTTGATTACATTAAAATAAGGCAAGTGTACCAATTATATTGGTTCTACTGATTTAACAAATGAGTTTTCTTTTAAGGGAAACCTGTACTGAGAGAAATAAGCTGTCATTGCTGACTTTTTAAAATGCTAGCTGCCTGGCTATATCCAGCTCTAATGCGGTCTAAATCAGAATCGAAGTGTGCAGTCCGCATAAAGCAGCGTGAAGTCATAATTCTTCATCTGCATACTTGCTCCAAGGCATTGACTCAAAGTAAAGTTGCTGAATCAGTCTGACCGCTAGGCAACTAGCAATTTTCATAACGAAAAGGTTGTTAAACCTCAGCGCACATATTTTCCCCGGAATAGGTTTCCTTATATCTAATATCAGTTCGGATGCATGGAAGCATTCGTAATTGACTTCTAGAGAACTCCCACATGGGCAGTAGATGTCCAATGATCTCATGTGATGCTTAATTACTACAATCTGGCCATATATGGCTACTCTAAAATGACAACAAAACTAATCATCCGCAACTTGAGAGGCTGGCGAACACTTAATTGTCATATGGAGAATAGTATTTAGATCTGAATCCACACAGTGTAAACTAGTTCCGAATCTCATAGCCTATTAGCTCCAGCTGGGTGACAAGGAGAGCTTTGGGTGAGTCTCTGCCAGGAAGGCTCTCCCCCACCCCGTACTGATGCAGAAAAATCGAATGCAGCAGCATCCATAATACATCCCTGCAGTGGAAGGGTTAGTAGTACGGTATGTATACAACTTCTCACTGTTGGAATGCAATGGGGACATTTTACCCTACATATTTAAGCTGAATATTCTTTGCCATGCCTTGACAGTGTAGGTGCATTTTAAAAGATTGGATGAGTGAATTCTATGGCTCTTAGTGTTAATTTCAACCCTTGACTTCTATAGGAGGGCATTGATTCTCATTGGCTGCCTTTGCAGCCAATTATTTGTACTTTCTACACATGTTCTTGCTACAGTGCTGCTGTACTCTTTTGCATAGTGAGATACAAGTCCAAAGACACGGACTGGTATGCATTACTGATACTGGGCATATTTGCTATTAGACAAAAAGGGGTGGAAAATATGCCAAGCTTTATATCAAGAATAAGTCTTATTTAACAAACATGGGCCAAAAATGGCTGCATGTTACAGGTATCACCTGGTCAGCAATAGTTTACTTGAACCCATCATATTCAGATTTCATTCACAGCTGTAACTGTTCTAAAAGGTGCCCATACACCTTACAACCATCGCACGACTTTCATCCTGCGATGGTTGTAAGGTAATTAAAAGCTCGTCCGATCTGCCCATCTTGGACAGGCAGATCGTACTTGCGATCATCGAAAGCCCGCCCCACTGAGGGGAGGGCTTCCGATGACTGCAATGCTGAGCGGGCAGTGTGCGCTTACGCACACCGGCCTGTGCGGCATTTATCTCCCGAGAACGCCACTAACCCTCGAAAATCGTACGATTCTCAGCGGGTTTTCAAGCCTGCTCGGGAGACAACAGACGTGCAACCTTTCAGTAGAAGTGGTCGCACGTCTTCCATACACCTGCCGATTGTCGTACGATCGTGGGATCGTGCACAATATCACAGGAAGGGAAAATGTCTTTTCCTGAGATTACAGATGAGATTTCCCAGCAATGCTCTGCTGATGACAAGGAAATACCAGTGTGCATTGCTTTGCCAAACTGAAGTCATTTTGCCCTTTCAAAGCGGGAAGTGAATGCTCTGCAAGTGTAAGTATTCCAAAATCACAGCATTTTACACCTGACATGTCTGTTATTATTAATCATCATACATAGGAGGGATGCATTGGTAGAATTGAATTTTCTGAATGTAAAGGTCCGCTTTAAGGGAGACTGATCTAACACCTAAAAGTCACAATGTTTACCATAGGTATTTAAAGCATAAAATACATACTTTGCTTCCAAAGCCAGAGCAATAATTCCAGCAGCCAGTGGAGCAGATGCTGATGTTCCTGTGTGAGTGTCTGTACACTTCTGTCTTAGATCTGTTGTCACCTAAAGGGAGGGAAAACAGCCCAATCAGAACACACACCACTAATACTCCAACACAAAACTAGCACTTTACTAACAGCAGTCTTAACTAAGACTGCGACAGGTAGTCATGACAACATTTATATGAACTCTCCAAGTTTGTATTTTCAGGTTAACACTTGCTGAGAAATTATTGAAAACAGATTGAATTAATTTGCTGCTCTTCAGCTATAGAGACACTTCGACATGAAAGCTGAAGTGGCATGGAGACCTACACTAGCAGGAGCATGACGCAGAGCAGTTATGGTGATACTTAAAGACCAAATCAACATGAAACTGATATTTAAAAGGACAATTAACATTATATTCATGCAGTAACACCCTTTTATAGTTATTCAGTGTGCAAAGAGAAGGAGAAGCATGATTTCTACTGATCATAGCTGTTAAAACTGCACAATACAAAATTATGTGCATTTATATAGAGGTCAATGGGTTGCTAAAAACGGGGGAAATTCACCGAAATGCAGTATTTCCTGTATTTTAAAATTGCACAGAGCTGCAGAAAAATGTGACCCGACCACGGTATTACACTCCTTCAAAGAGTTCTCCATGATTCAAAACAAATAATTTGGGAATCAAGCTGCAAGTGTGACACCTTTGTTACTGCCTTGAGGAAAGGAGTATAAATAACAAACTAAAATGTTACCAATGAAGCTGTTGAGAAAGAAACACAAAACAAGTGTGTAAATCAACCCACCAATGCTTGCCTTAAACTGAAATATATGGTTTTTAAAATGGGATTTGGTAATGTAGTGCAAAGAAATTATGATGCAAACAGGTTACCTTTTATTTTTTTAGTTTTCTATAAAGTAGAAGGATTAGACCACCCGTCAGCTCTTTACTGCTGCTGTGTTCCCCACTATGGAGAATCACCCCCTCTATTTGTCCATGTGACCGATAAGAAAATCCTGAATTATGGCTCACCAGGAATAGATGGGAAATCTTCCAATGGGTGCACTAGCCCTGCTGACCAGAAGTGATTTCCTTTTACTTTCTGTTGTGACTATCTGAGAGGAAGTAAAGGGAAATTTCCCCGACGGGACAACAGTGACAAAAACCCCTGAAAAACTTACATGCATTACAAAAACCCTCCATTACTGTATACAAAACTAAAAAACGAGGGGTAAGGTTACTTCTGGGGGCTGGTCTGTGGTGAGTGGGAGTATCCACATAACCAATGCCTACAACCTCCTTGTTAATAGAGACTATCATAGACCCAAACTTAAAAAAAAAAAATCATTTTACATATAATCGTCAAGGAACAAAAATAATATAAAAGTTGTTCAGTCGTGTATATCCATTCATACAAACCACCTTTTTTGTAGATGGAATCAATTGAAAAGCTCAGAACTGCTCTGTCTGGCCACACTAATAGGGCACCCCAATCTCAAATATCAAAGGTTTTGTTAATACAAAATGTAAATGTTATAATGGGGATAACATTCCATCCAGCTAAGCCTTAGCATATGCTGGAATGATGGTAAAGATCTCTTGAGTCTATTGAACAGAATGATCTTCACATGGAAACACACTTGTAGACTAATCTTCATTGGTCTAAAGTTAAGGATGCAACTAGTAAAGATTGTGATGAGGGTGCACTGGGATGAGGAAGGGCAGGTGGGGGCAAAGCATGGATTTGGGTGCTGGTTTGTGTTCAGGGTTGTGGCGGTATAGGATGGTTTTATGGCACACTAATCTGGCTGTGCACATGCAGATAAGTGTTCAATTTATGCTCATTTTCAATACTGCAATTGCACTTCGAGAGATTTGAACGGCACAACTTTTCTTCAACAGCTTACAAATGACCAATCTGACAAATTCATCGATCAAAGCACAATACTGCACAGAAGAAAATATTGATCGCATGATATTTAGTTGATTGGTAAAAAGCAATTGCATGTGCACCAATGATATTAAAAAACACCCTTTGTTATTGAGGTTTCATCCAATTTCGCTTTTCGGCTTGCACAATTATTCTGAAAAATCACATGGACCTGCATAGTGGCTCAAATGTTCTTATTTCCTGAAAACCATTGATTATACTTTGCTGCTCCATTATGTAAATGTCAGTTTCCCAAAAATCTATGCATTCCTTGGCATCCTAAAAGTCCATATAAAAATGGATTGACAATCTGTTCATCATACACATCAGTACTAATTTTACTTACTGCTCTGAAAATCTGTTATCAAGTTAAAACAAATGATTAAAAAAAAAACAAAAAAAAACATTAACAGCCTACACCGGCCATCTATAGCTTTATCCAAAGACTACTGGAATGGGGCCACAGTAAACAAATACACTTTGTTCAGGCTGTATGTTGAAACATTCTGAATGGATTGTGAACCGCAAGGCAAACAGAAAAGAACACGCTTGGAGCAGGGGCGTCCAACTGGCAGATAGTGGATGGAAACAGTCCAGTCTCCAGATAATGCTGCTGATTCAACCTAACGTGACAAATGAGGTGGGGGACACTTTAAAGTGAAAGGAATTGCAGAAACCCATAACAGGTTGAGCACTGTTAGGTTCAATATTTTATAAAACAATTCAAGAAAAAAGTATAAAAAAAAACAACAAAACAAAAACACCACAGCAGACTCCTACAGCAACCAAGCTTTATTGTACTTAGCCAAATAAAACCAGATACTTATTTGTTGATTTACTGGGTTACTAAATAAAGATTGTATGTATAAAGGGTTACATCAGGATCGCATGTGCTACAATAGGATTAGTACCCCTCTCTCAAACTGAAACATTATGGCTGGATTTTACTTTGCATGCAACTAATTGCACATAGAACAAAATCTTCCCACCATATTCGTTTACAGTCACCAGATGTTGCTAGTAATAAAAAGCAGCTGAATTATAAACAAATGCATGGCAATGTAGAGCTACAGGTTATGAAATATATTAAAATAACCGAGTTCATGTTTCATAATCACAGCCCAGGTGGTCGCATTCTGTACTGCACAGCTTTACTTTGCAGTGCATCAAAATTATTTCTGCCTATATTGTAAATACCATATATTTAATGGGCCAGGAAGTGAAGTATAATATACCCAAAGGGAGATCTAACATTTTCCCACCATCAAAAAAGAGAAAATGATATCATCCCAATTTAACATGCAAATGCCACGGTGATTGATTTACATATGAAAAGGAAAGAAGCAATTCCTCTTATGAGGTTAGCTGTTAGAGATCAGAGTAAAAAGAGAATACTTACAATCTGTTTTTCATTCTGATTTCCACTGCTGTACGTTGTAGCCAGTGTGGAAGAACAGGCCTCGCTGTACCATGGTACATTGCCATACTGAGTGGTGCTGCTGATGGACAATGTGTAGATGCTGTTTGTGTACCCATCACAGTTGCAGCTGTCATGTTCTCTCCCGCCATTACCAGAGGCCCAAACGTATATAGAGCCAAGACCATTACGACCCTGTCAGAGCAACAAACAAAACAAACTTGAGGACAAACATACTCATGAGTTTACCCTTAGATACCTGTAGAACGGTTTGTATTGACGAGCGTTGTTGGCTGACTTTTGCATATGAGTGCTCCTTAAATGCATGTTTCGTTTGCCTTGCATGTAATGCAAACACATCTCAATAGTACCTGCTGCATCCAAAGAAAAGGACGTCAAGAAAGGTCTGAGAACCGCCAGCCACACTGCACCAGGGTGGAATCTGCAGAGAAAAATCCACCCATCTACAAAAGCCCTAATGCTGCGACTAGGAAAGATCCATAACAATGAAAGGTCAGTATGCGTCTTTTCTCTTGACTTTTTCATTATGCATTCCTCTAATCGGTTTCCATACCCCATCTATTCTTTTTATTGCCAACCTTTCAAGACGGCAGCCATTTAATTTTTTTTTTTTTTTTTAAAAAGGGTAGAATAACCAAAACTGAAATATCACCAATCTGTTCCTTGCTGCTCTCAAAATACAAATCTGCAATATTTCTCTTTAGCAGTGTTGGTTTCTTCTGTTTATAGTAGGATGTGGGCTTGTCCCAATAGGAAACTGGTGTATTTTACACTATGAGAATACACCAAGTTGGACACAAGCTTTGTAGTAGCCGATTAATATTGGAATACCATCAAAAAATGAAAATCAGTGTTGTGTGGAGTTGGCCCTAACCACCTCAATACCAGCATACAGTAAAAAAACAAAACAAAAACACCGCAACAAAGCATCCAAGAGCATGCTTATTTCAAGAGTGCCGTTTTAAAATAGCACTGCAGAAAACAGGCACAGGCAGCCAGTGCATCGGTTGAACACCAGTGAGAGGTCATTAGACAGTCCAGATCACAGGCAAAATGCACAGAGTCAGAGTGGTACTTTTATGGTTTACACTTGAGATCCCTTCCTCTCACAAAGGTGGAAGGGGGTGATTTATTAAATGAATGCCAGAATTGTAGGTAGCAGCAGATTTAAGGTAGGGGTTTTTATTAATTTGATTGTCGGAATCATATTTTTATAACCCATCCTCTCCTCCAAGTGCGAGCTGTACATTTTATGTCCATCCTGTCTCCGGCCTACATTTGAGCCCCTTCACCTCTTTTCCTGCACATTAACCTCCTCATCTCCATCCTACCACTGTACATTAACCCCTTCACCTCCTCCCTGTGTGTGACCTGTACATTAATGATGCACCATTACCAAGCCCCATGTTTTAGCCACATCATTAACAGCATGTTTCTGCATTTCCAGAAAACTGTGGCAAAAAATTGTTTTATCCTTGGGGCTTCTATTTTCCAAAAAGGGCTAGTTTGGTGGAAAGAGAAACGTTATTCATTTTTTTGGAAACAAAAAAGTGATTTAAATGCCAAAGAGAACTCTACTTGTCTCAATTAACGTAAATAAAATTCACTTGAATACAATATTGCATGACCAAGTCATTTTTAGGCAATCATTGCAACAAAAATGTAAAATAGCTTGGTAATGAAGGGGTATATACACATTCTCATATTCTAGTAGATCAAATAAGCAATGAATTCTACAGGAAAAGAAGTCCCTGATTCCAGACTTGGTGAGAGGTCCAATATAAAATTAAAAAAAAAATAGGGTGCTTCACCTTTAAATGTCTTAGAAGAGAAAACCTGTCAAGCAACTCTGCAGCCTTACAGGTAAAAATTATTTGTAACTATAGAAGAACAATGTATCCCTTGTTTGGCCTGATATTTTCAGAGCGGAAAAGTAATTGCCTTTTTATGATGCGAAGAGTGTAATTAAAATGTTTTATTGACAAGCTATGATAGAGGAAGATTATATCCTGGCACTATGGTGCTGGATGTCTCTAGCTAGTGAAACAATGCATCTTCAGTGAAGCACCTGCAAGATCTATTCACAGAGCATTGTAAGGGGAGAGTTGACAGGGATCTGATCGCATTCTGAATTGACCTGGGTGATTTTAAAGCTGAATTCAGGGCACTAAAACATACACCAAAAGGTACACCTTCCAACATGACAACGATCCTAAGCACACAGCCAAAACACAGGAGTAGCTTAGGGACAACTCTGTGAATGTCCTAGATTGGCCCAGACACTATTTGACATCTCTGGAGAGACCTGAAAATGGCTTTCCACCGACGGTCCCCATCCAACCTGACAGCTTGCGAGGATTTGCAAACAAGGATGGCAGAAAATCCCCCCAATCCAGGTGTGCAAAGCTTGTCGCGTCATACCCAAAAAGACTCAAGGCTGCAATTGCTGCCAAAGGTGCTTTAACAAAGTACGGAGTAAAGGGTCTGAATACTTAAGTATATGGTGTTATTTCAGTTTATGTTTAATAAATTCACAGACATTTCTAAAATTCTGTTTTCCCATTGTCATTATGGGGTACTGAGTGTAGAATAACGAGGAGAGAAAAATACTGTATCAGGCTGCAACATAACAAAATGTAAAAAGTGAAGGGGGTCTGAATACTTTCTAAATTAACTGTAAACATATTTCTCAATAATCACAAAAGGTTAAATCCACTGTGTGCACCAAATGCCTTTATAAACCCAGATATTACCTTAAAAAACACAAACAGTGGTATCTCTGTGCTGCTTATAGTTTGTGCACAGAGCAGAGCAGTGGGAGGGACTCAACAGGTTCTCCAACTACAGGCTGCCTGCAGACAACTACAGCAGAGGGAGGATACAAGACCAGTAAACAAGGAGAAATGACCACTCTTTATTACGAGAAACTACTGTACAGAAGTTTTATGCTGTATTACTACAGAGATCTGGAATAAATGTACAGAGCACTTCAAGATTCAAGAATACACATGACTCTTGTATGATAACATTTGTTTTTCCTGGAGTTCTGCTTTAAATTATACACATCTGCAAAAAGGATGGGTAAACTTAACAGGGTTCGGCAATGGAAAAAATACAACAAAAAGTATCTCGGCCTACCTGGTTGACGCCTCTGAAGAAAGCCTCTTCTGCTAGATGGGCTGGACCATCAACTGTCTTGCCATCATCCTCCGGACCCCAGCTGGCACTGTAGATATGGATGTGGTTGGGATTGAGACCTAGTGATCTTGCTTCTACAGCATCAGTTACTTCCCCGTCCAGCATTCGAACACCTGCCCAAAGGAGAAATAGTTTGCATCATTTAATGTGTCTTAAGTTTTCATAAACAGCAAGGCTACAGTAAAAAAAAACAAAAAACAACCAACACATTCTGCTTGATGGACACATTTAAAAGTTCCATTTAAAAAAGACAGTGAATGTCACTTTCACCAAACATTCTCTGGTGGAAAATCTTCTGGGTCATGTGATGAGTGACCGATTCTCCACCAATTAAAATTAGATACACTGTTTAGTGAAAGTCATACACGATGTTTATAAATAGATCTATTGGTGTCAGATGCATAATAAACCAAGACAGAAACTCCGCCTAACACATGTGAGAAAGATACAAATTCACCGTTATCGGAACTGGGCAACAATTTCATGTTTATAGGGCAGCTGCAGATAATCCTGCTAAATAGATATTGTGGAAAGGACAGACAGGTTGAAAAACAAATCACTACAGACATACGCGTCGCTACAGGGGGGCAATTGCCCCCCCTGTGTTATGCTTTGCCCCCCAGCGTGCCCCCGCTAAATTAAGCACCTGTGGAGTGGCTCAAGTGCCGGCGCTAGTATACAAGCAGCTTAAGCAGCTGCCTGAGGACGCTGGGTGAGGGGGGGGTGGAAAAATGGTATCACCGTTGTTGCAGACCAACACATGTAGAGATCTAGATGTAGCTGTATTGTCCGCCCCACCCCCTCCCCCCTGCTGCTGACTTTGAAGTTGCTGAGCCCGCACTGTGGCCGTAGCTGTGAGCCTGCCTGTCATGCAGTGTGTGAAGCTCCTCAAAGTAAGTTCTCCCTCGGCTCTTTGAACTAGAGGACGATCGTTTTTTTAACACTTGCTCCTGGTCCCAGGTGGAGGTGCAGGGCATGTGAATACATAAGTCTGTGAACTGTCAGAGCACTTCTCTGGTGCCACCGGAGTTCTGTGGGGGAAGGAGGGGGGGGGAGGAGGGGGGGGAGAGTGATCCTGGGTGCAATGCCATAAATTCAAGATCTTTGTACAGTCTGGAGTGTGCACTGTGCAGCTAAATCCCTTATCAGATAGATTTATAGACCACCATTCAGCAGATAGTGGCTCTCATGGACATCACAGGGGTTTAACTGTTTGTTTCCCAGCTGCAGCAACAACTAATAAAGTTATACAGTGACTGTTACTTCAGTGACCATAATAATTAGGGATGTCCCGATACCGATGCTAGCATAGGAATCGGGCCCGATACAGGGCATTTTGACAAGCCTAGCTCTGAAGCTTGCGCTATGTTTTTTTTCTTTCTTCTTAATTACCTCGCCGAGCGTCGCGTCACTGCTGCTCCGGTGGGCGGCGCTCCGAGCAGGGTCATCTGGCAGTCTATGCCGATGCCATCTGCAATTAAATCAGCTCATTGGTGCCCAGCGGTTGCGACATGCAATGAAAATTATTAGTGCCCCCCCAGATTTGACTGTTGTATCTTATGTGCCCCCCCTACATATTGTTCCTAGAGTCGCCACTGCTACAGATATCTAGAATATTTCCAGTATGTGTGCTTGAAGCTGTGCTAGAACCATGAGATCATGATTCCCACACTACAACTGTAAGCTAGAGTGAAATGTAAAACCCAAACCGGATTTCATCCCCCATTTATTACATGAAGTCCTTCCGCTGGAATCTGTACATCATGGTATATCTAAAGCCAAACATTTATTACCTATTTCATATAAAACAGGGAATGGTGAAACCTGTTTCCCTTTTGGGAATATGTTCCTTCACTACCAGTCTTGTAGACACCACAGAAAGTAAAAGGAAAACTCTCAAAAACCAGGAAAACACCCTCTTGGACAACTGACACCAGAACAAGAAAAAAAAAGTTACAAAATGGATCCCTCTTTAAGTAAAGGTGGCCATACACTCTACAACCATCGCAAGACTTTAGTCTTGCGATGGTTGTAAAGGGATTAAAAAAACGTACGATCTGCCTATCTTGGACAGGCAGATCGCACTTTCGATCATCGCAAGCCCGCCCCCCTGAGGGGCGGGCTTCCGATGACCGCAATGCTGAACGGGCAGTGTGCGCGTGCGCACACCGGCACGTTCAGCATTTGTCTTCCGAGCACCGTTCTAACCAGCCGAGAATCGTACGATTCCCGGCTGGTTTTCGAACATGCTGGTTCGACAGAAGACGTGCGACTGTATAGTAGAAACGGTCGCACGTCTCCGTTCACACTACTCGATTATCGTACGAAAACCCGATCGCATACGATTATCGTACGATAATCGTGCAGTGTATGGGCACCTTAAGGCACTGGTTACTTCTTATGGTTACAACAGTTCATTTATCTAGGTGTCATTGATATAATTAAATCAATAGATGTGATAAAATGAGCAGTTGTGGTACAGGAGAATCATGTGATCGTTTTAATGATTATTCTTTTGCCATTTTACAAAATAGAGCAACAATGTCTGCACTGTGTGACAATTAAAACAATTGCCAGATTTTTTGCATTTACAAAGTTACAAAATCAGATGCAATTTGGCTTCCTGTGACCATCTCCATTTAAATGAAACTTTGTACTGAAAGATATACAAGGACTGCCATTGCTGACCATCTAAGAATAAGAGTTATCCGTTTGTCTTGCCGAGTCACTGACCTGAAAAAGTATGCAGATTAAAAAAGGGTATAGTCAGAACTCCTCATCTTAATATTTATTCCAGTTCAATGCCTCAGAAAGTATTGAAGCCAATGAAACCGTGTGACAAGCTGGCAACTGGAATTTTCCAAAGGAGAGGTCAGACCTTGTAGCCCCATACTCTAAACTAGGGCTGCAACAACTAATCGACATAATCGATTATAATCGATTGAAAAAGTTGTCAACTTTTTAACTACATGTTTCCTTTAATCTCAAATATCCCATTACTTAAAAGATGGAGCAACAACATTATATAATGGTCTGGTTAAAAAAAATAAAAAAAATAAATCGTACAAAAATGAGGATGGTATCCAAAATTCTGTAAAGAGTCAGCTTGTATTAATGTACACTACTCTCTATGGCTGTACTTTGCACACCCAGTGTTTTGACAACATCATATGATCATCTAACAGGACAGCATTTTAAAAATGTGCAGAATAATTCATTGCCACATTACACACCCGTTTCCAAACAAAGTCACATTTATGAAGATTACTTTGTATAAAGTAACTTGTACATGAGCCGTACCCTAAGTTATATTATAAGCTACATGCTTACCACCAATCTTGGCATTAAAAGCTATTCCAACACCGCAAATTCCATTATTTGCCACTGCTGCCACCTCACCCGCACACCGCGTACCATGCCTAGAAAATAAAAGGGCATACTGTTTATTACACAATTCATACTGAGTACTTGTTTTAACATGCCTGATTTTAAGTAAAATGAAACAAAGGTGGATTCTTTCTAACTTTCCTTTGTGTTTGAGCTTAAATCGCCTTATAACAATTTACAGTTATTTTGTAAGTGAAAAAACCCCCACAATATCTGTGTGCCTGCCAACATCATTTAGAAGAGTAATTATAAACGGAGGCGTTTAAAACCTTACATTCTAGCCAAAGAAAAGACAAACTTTTGCACATTCCTGGAAATGTATTTCTTTTTCAAACATACATATCTATTTGCAGCTGTGTGTTAGCATTGATTCACTCTGCTAGCACTAGTTCCCCATCCAATCCCAGAGACGCAAGATGTCAGTTGCTGCCACTGTATCACACCAAGCTGTGACCAGGACTAAGTTTCTGCAGAGCTGAATGAAGTGGGGCATTGTGCGCACAGGACATAAATCTTTTATGTCTGTCCCATTTTGTACCATAGACAGGATCCACAGCTCCACAAGACAAACATTAAAAGTACATGAGCTTGGCAAAGGTCTATTGGCATTCCAAGGGCCTGTCCGGTTCGTTAACCCTTAACAGGTTCTGCTTGCCTTCTTCAAGAGACTGGCATGTACTAGATCTAAAATTTAAAACCGCATATATTCACATACTCATTAAAATTTTCAAACAGTGATTTGTGGCCAATAAAAAGCACACCAGATTATTGCAATGAAATCAATATCGTTCACACATACACAATGCACAAAAGGAAGAATCAGGTTGCAATAAGCGACAAGAGCAATTGTTTAACTAGACACTTTTAATCATCTGATCTTTTATGTCAGAGATAAACTACCACCCTTGATGTAAGACTCTTGTAAGAAAATAAGTTAGATAAGAAACCATTGGAAGAGTATTTCTAGCCACAGTGCGAATAACCCGAACTAGAAAAGGTTTTTCATTGGTGCTCAGATTCCAATTATCATCAAAACTGTCCATGTGCATTAGGCAGTCACTGCAATTGGCATTAAAATGAGAAATATCTATATACATATCTACAGGGCTCGAAAATCCACTCGTCTGCGACGAGCAGACAGTGGAGCCCGACGAGCAGCTTCCAGGCCGGCCGCTGTAATTACACGGCCGGCCGGGAGCTTTACAGTCAATATATACACATATCTATATATACACGCACAAAACCACTATAGTTTTACATTTAGTGGATTTATCCACTTCATGCCAAAAAGGGTTTACCAAGTTCATTGCCATTATTCAAATTTCAACAGACCAATTCCAAGTTATGAGAAGATGCTAAAAATCTGAGACCAAAATGACATTGTTGATCTATTCGAAGCTATAGCATCATAGTAAATAACAGATCAGACAGAAGGTAGAATAGGACTAGTTAGTCGTTTGTGACTGCCCAGGGCCTGCACTGATTGGCAACTGGCATCAACTATGAAACCACCACCCAGTGACATCACAAGCCCCAGATTTGTATTATGCTTCTGAACGCAGCTCTATTACAGCAAATGTGTTAATGCACATAGTGGACGTTAGATCTGTAATTCAGAGCAGAGTTGAGGAGCATAAAAATAAAGTGTCCCAAATCTGCAGAGTGGAGCTAACTGGCATAATTCATGCACATAAATTAATTCTAGTGGTTAGAATGACTGAATATTCAGCGTAGATTGGAGTATTTTAATATGCCCATGTGCATGGGCCCTAAGATGTTTGTCCACTTGGAGACCTGTCTTTTTGCACAACTTCGTTCTAATGCAGGTAGACATGAAATCGTTGAATTTATATATAATAAAGGGTTGTTTTGTTTTTTACTCTAAAAATAAATTTCAAACAGTTGATATGTTACCAAAGATTCTGCGTGTGATGAGAATTACGTTAAACCTTGAGAAGTCAAGGCCAGCTTTCAGTCTCCCGACTTTAAAGATGGAAAATATGGCGTACCAGCTGTAGTTATAACCTTCACCTTGACATGACTGTGGCAGCTCTCCATTGAGGAGAATTATAGCACGTTAGCGTGTGCTGGACGGGCCAGAAAAAAATATGACGGCTAAATAGATTTTGCAATAAAGCACATAGTTTTAACCCCTGTGTCAAAATCTTACAAGTCCATTTTTATAGCAGGCAGGTACCGGTGGCACTGAATGCCATTTCCTGATCCAGCAAGCCGTAAAATATGCTGCAAACCAGTAATTTCACAATGACAGGAGCAGTCAGCATTTTTAAACCATAACATAAAAAGTCAAGTGTTGTGAAAGGCATATCCTATGGGGCCACAAACATAACAGAATTCCTGCATACTGGCGTAAAACTGCACAATACTAGCCTCGTCTCTCCTGTGTATCATTAGGAGCTGCAAACTTCCTGCATGGTTATGGTCATGCAAGTTTTATAAGCAGAAAAGGCTTGAGAAGTTCTTATAAATCAACCCTTAAAGCAGCTAGTTTTCTGGACCGTGTCAGAAAGAGGAGGAAAACGACTGGTGGGATTCCGCTATAGCGGATGCGGTGCCAGAGAGAAACTTGCAGTAAAATACATGTAAAGCAAAATCTCCATCAAAGTTGACAATACTCAGAACGATTCCAGCTACATCATTCATGACATATTGTCATCGTCTGATTTCCGGAGACAGTTTAAAATTTAGGAGACCTATCCTCTTAACTCTGGTTAATCAGCTGAATACACTGATGAAATACATGTGTATAGGTTTGCCATTTTATGTTTCATAGTTCGTCAGCCAGTCTTGTGATTTGCATAACTCTTGTATAATGCAGGGTCCTTGCAGATCGCAAGCTTACTTCCTGGTTCATAAAATCGGGGTCCAGCTACTTGGCTTCCTATGCTGCCTCTCAGAATCTTGGCTGATCATTGAACATCATCTCTGCCCAATAAGCAGGGCGTTCACCAGGCTAATAGAGTGACCATCCTGACTGTGCAAGGTGTATGTACCACAAGAACGTCTGGACAAACTTGCAAATACTTTACGGCAGATTGAAACCAGATGTGCTGAGGCTGCGCAGGCTGAGTTTTCCAATGCACAGACAAGGCAAAATGTCTTGTTTACTGCGAGTCCAGTTCACACAAGCTGCATGCAGTACTTTTCAGTGCAGCGTGGTGCAACCGCATGTCACCGTGCTGTGCCTGTAGAACTCAATGAAATGCAGTGTGTGACATTCTAAAAAAATAACAAACAAGGTGATGCGACAGCATCGGTGCATAACTACGGCTTCCCTCACTGTGTGTTATGCATATATAATAAATATAAACAGATGCATTACTGGGGCTGTTTGCTGCCACTCTTTTGTCTGGACAGTATTTAGAAAATACAAAATTAAAAACTCCCATATGGGTTACATCAACATCTTTAAACCTGTCAAACTTAAGCCTTCATGCACAGCTCATTAAAACAGAGACTGTGAGAGTGATTGGAGATGCACCCAGCCAGGTGTTTCAGACTTTCCAACCAAGCCTCCATTATCCTCAGTTCAAGTCAATTAATGCTTAACTATGCAAGCTGGAGTTGTGCTGCAAATGAGATAAATGTTGATCAGGGATGAAGTACAGCTATGAAGATATAAAAGAATGCATTTGGAGGCCTTCTTTTAAGCTCATCCCATATTATAACTAAAGTGATGCAAGATCACAGAAAGGAAAAACACAGCTGCTTCTACTGTGTGATAAATGCAATCGGCCAAAATACAGTGTAAAGCTGACCATACACTTTACAACCATTGCAAGACTTTAGTCTTGCGATGGTTGTAAGGTAATTAAAAAAAACGTACGATCTGCCCATCTTGGACAGGCAAATCGTACTTGTGATCATCGCAAGTCCGCTCCGCTGAGGGGCGGGCTTCCGATGACTGCAATGCTGAACGGGCAGTGTGCGATTGCGCACACCGGCCAGTGCGGCATTTGTCTTATGAGCAGGCCACAAACCCGCCGAAAATCGCATGATTCACGGCGGGTTTTCAAACATGCTCGTAAGACAAAAGATGTGACCGTACAGTAGAAACGGTTGCATGCCTTCCATACACCTGCCGATTATCGTACGATAAATCGGCAGGTGTATGGGCACCTTAAGCCAAACCACATGTAGCTCTGCTTGTGAGTGATCTGATAGAAACCAATGGTGGGGGACACACTAAAAACAGCAAAACAAAGCAATGATAGAAATGTTTATTTGTTAATAAATCTTAGGCAAGACTCGCCAAGGTCTCGTTCACACAGACAGCAGGCTCCACCTCCTTTCTGAAAAGCAGTTCCCAGAGAATCGCTTTCCAGAGGGTAGTAGAGCAGAGGCATTCCAGAGGGCAGTAGAGCAGAGACGTTCAAAAGGGCAATACTTACACCTCCTAAGAACCTTTTCTGGCTCTGCTTTTCTCAATCCCAAACAGGATTTTGTATTGCAATACTGTGTTGCAACCATGTACATTGATTGCAATGGTAGTGTTTGGCATACGGCATCGTCTGCTAAATCCGATTTAAATTAAAAAATGTGCCACAGTCACTATTTTAAGCTTTAGGTGGGTGGCCGAGGCTGATCAACCACCTGTTTTTAGCGCCCCCTTGCTGCACACGTAAAGGAGGTCTTAGGGAGCACAAGAAGTTATAAATAAAAATAAATAAAAAAGATGGTTT